GATGGATGATGGATGGATGGATGGATGGATGATGGATGGATGGATGGATGGATGATGGATGGATGGATGGATGGATGATGGATGGAGGATGGATGGATGATGGATGGATGGATGGATGGATGATGGATGGAGGATGGATGGATGATGGATGGATGGATGGATGGATGGATGGATGGATGGATGGATGATGGATGGATGGATGTATTGAAATTACTGGTGACCTCAGCGGTACCAGCAGCCAATCGTTTCACCCACCTCCTCCTCCTTAGAGCAGACCTCCCTCTGAGCAGTCTGCAGGTCCTTGTCAACGCTCTGCAGCTTTGCCTCGGTCTCTCGTAGAACCTTCTCCTGTGAAACAGTCACTGTGTTCTTCACCTTCACTTTTCCAACCAGTCCTCGAACTTCTCCTTGGAGTTTCTGGATTATCCCGTTAGCCTGAAATCAGAAAGGAATGTTTGCTGAAAACTAAAAGACAAAATCTCACCAAAACATTATTTTTACTGTAGAACCTAAAAATAGAAAACAAAGATTATGTAGAATGAAATGTTTACCAGTAATCATCTATTTTTATTTCAGATGTTGAATAAATGCCGACAGCGATGCTATGGAGCTAAATTACTGCCAAAACGGCGGCATGAAGTCCTTATGGCGATTCTCTCTGCTGTAGAGGGGGCGGGGCTAAACTTTCATTATGTTCCATTACATCTGGAGGATACGTCCCAGGTGTTTCCTTTCCCATAATTCATTGCACCTTGAAGCAGGCTGGGCAGCAATGATTGACAACAATGGAGGAAATGATGCTTTCTGGTAACCCAGATTAAAGTGAAGAATGTTTTAGCTGAGAAAGGATTTAAAGTCTAATTTTACCAGTAGGTAACCTCCCCTTCAACATCTAGCCACAGTAACTCCTGCAGCGCTACATCTAACCGCCGTTTAAAAACTACGATAGATGCAACATTTCAACCACATGCAGTACACTAAGGCAGCTGCAGGGGGCAGTACAGCAGCAGAGCAGGGCAGTGCTTAGAACAGGGCTAAAGGCTTTATTTAAAACTAGATACATGTTTAGCAGGATTCTAGGCTAGATCAGATCTATGTTAATATATCTAGGTCAAACATCACATCACATGGCTTGATGGTCACTGTGTGGTGAACCGGTGCTATAGAAATAAACTGAATAGATGGATAGAGGCACCGTGGTGCATTCCTGCTGTGGTTCTCCTGGATCCAGCAGCTCTACGTCCAGCAGCTCTACGTCCAGCAGCTCTACGTCCAGCAGCTCTACGTCCAGCAGCTCTACGTCCAGCAGTCAGCTGAGCAGCAATCCTCAGAGCCTCCAGACTGAGAGCAAGCTCTTCTTTTTTCTGTTTTGAGTTTTCTTTGTTTTTGCGGCTCTAGTTTGTTTGTTTTTTCGATAGTGGGCTGAAGAGAAGGGGGTATGAGAGGGGGAGACGTGGCAAAGGACCACAGGTCGGACTCAAACCAGGTCGGACTCAAACCAGGTCAGCCGCGTTCATACATGGGTCGTGTGCGCTAACCGCTGCGCCACCAAAGCACGCCCCGCGCTTCCTCCGTTAAAGAGAAGCTGCATCAGTGATGATGGCGTGATGCAGAGAAGCTCTAGCGGCGTGTAGCATGGCGTGTTGGTCAGTCACAGCATTCATCTCCACCCATGCTGCATTTGCTTTTCACCTTCTCTGATGACTGCTGCAAACAGCCTCCTCCTGCGCCGCCCAACATTCCCAGTGGGGTTAAGACCCTGGGAGCCGATCCGTGCTTCATGCTTCCCAGTTTAAAGGCCCCTGGCATGAGGGAAGGAAACCCCAAACATCTTTGAGCTCCTGTTATGATCAGCAGCGTTGGATCAGAGAGAGCAGACTGAATGCATGGAGCATCTAGATGTTCAGAGCTCACTGACTCCATCTAGTGGTGGCCTGGAGGCGGCTCACCCTGAGCCTGAAATGTTATTACTGAGGCTGACTGAGGAGAGGAGGCGGTCTGCTCAGGCAGAACCGAGCCAGAACTGAACCACGCCGAGCCCTGCTGATGAACTAGCACCATGTTAGCACGGTTCGGTTCAGTTCTGCGCTTAGACTCAGTTACCATGGTTACCGTGCTGGGACCGATCTCAGCAGTTTCATAAGGGTAGTGGAAATGGGGATAAAATGTTTGATGCAATTAGCTGGATTTCCTGGGATAGAAAACCAATCTGACTGGATGATCTGGATGATCTGGATCTATAAAGTGACCTGAGACGTAATGATGCAGCTAGAGAAATAAACTGAAGTAGATTGACAGGAAAAGATCAAAGTCTACATGTCGTAGCTGGCCGCCTGCTGATGGGAGGAGCCTCAGGGAGGATGTTGACCATCAAAGCAGAAATGAGCTTTTCTATCTGATCATCCATTATCTAGAAGTGCGGAGCGACATGAAGCTTTAACGTTCACTGTAGGAATGACACGCATTCCTTTCAACGCCAGCTTTCATCTCAGACACCGAAACTGATGGTGAGAAACGCTGTGAAAGAACAGTCAGCTGGTTGAGCAGTTCACCTCAGGGACCAATCAGGCCGCAGAGGAACGTTTGGTCAGGGTCTGGATGAGGCCGCTGTCACGTGATAAACCGCTATTCTGACAAAGATTACAACTAATAAACTTTATCAGCATCTCCACAGTCAGCTGCCCTCCTCCTCCTCCTGCTCCACAGAACAGGGCAGAGGAGACGTCAAAGTCAGGATGAACTCGCCGCCACATGAGCGCCTTCCTCCGTTTCTGCCGGCTCTGATACGGACTGCACCATCATCAGCGCAGCACGCCGCCTTTAGCTGGATGATTGGTGGGACATGGATGAGCTCCTGGCTTCTATGGGCCTGATTTATGTTCATGGAGAGCAAACGGAGGAACAACATGGAGTTATCAGCTTCTGCTCCACTGAGTGACATCACTTCATCAAAGACTGCGTCTCCAAACCGAGTCCAACATGCATCTCCTGTCCTTTAGTGAAACAGAGACGACTATGAGGTCAGGGAAGGCTTCAGCACCTCCTGCTACAAACATTGGCTCCTCCCACTGATGCCGCTTTCTGCAGAACATGCCGTATCTTGGCGTGGAGCGGGTCAGCGGCTGTGGGGGGGTGAAATTAGGAAGGGGGAGAAGATTGACTGAGAACTTTTCTTTATGTCTGAAACTCGCAGAAGATGGACGATGATGATGATGATGATGAATGTTCGGGGAGGAATTTAATCAATTTCTGTAAATAAAATTATAATTTTAAACTTGGAACCTGTGCAGTTAAACAGTCTTATTTGTTTTACTGATTTATTAAAAACTAAATAATAATAATATCATATATTACAGCCTTTAAAAAATAAATATTAGAGGTCTGCTGATCTGCTCCAGGTTATATGGCACATTAGAACCATTTCAGCCGATGACATCATCACTACTCCTGCGTTTCATTGGCTGAATGGACGCCCATCAAACTGACTGCAGGTGTTAAATGTCTGAGTGGGATAAATGTTTTTCCAAACCTTCAGCAGCTCCTCTGACAGAGATTTCACTGTTGATTCCAGTTTCCTCATCTGCAGCTCTCTGTTTGCTGCCGTCTCCTCCACTGATTCCTGCAGCAAACAGGAAAACAACAATCAGCTCTGCAGAAGCAAACCTGATGAACCAGACGCTCAGTGAACTGTAGTGTACATTTGGGTCAAATTCAATCAGTTCAATTGATTCTCATTCCGCTGTCATAGGAATGTGTCTGCAGCCGAGGCAGCGCCTGAAGCCGAGGCAGCGCCTGAAGCCGAGGCAGCGCCTGCAGCCGAGGCAGCGCCTGCAGCCGAGGCAGCGCCTGAAGCCGAGGCAGCGCCTGCAGGCCG